TTCAAAGGAAAAAGAGAAAGAGAAAAAGCTCTTGAAATTTCTTGATTGAGTTTCTATTTGCATTCTTTTTTTCCTGTCAGCTTGTCCATGCTTAAATTCTACATTCAGTGACAGTGTCCACAAAGAATTAATCTTCTCTTCCTTGTTTCTGTTGTTTCCTGACAGTCAAAAGATAAGATTTGTGAGAAGAATATAGGCACAACTGAAACACCTCCATACTCCACCACCACTCTTCTGCCAACTACCACGAGGTTCAGAGTCTTAACAACCACCAGAGGATCCACCTCTTCCCACCTGCCAACTAGCCTGCCCACAGAAGGTGAGGTCTATACACCACGTTATTCTGTAGTGCAAGCAAGTCATTTACAAGTCAAAAAGAAATTTATTTACTTTGAATTTGTGTTCATGTTGACATTTGCGCTTTGGGGCAGTGGAAGGGAATTGCAGACAAGGCAATATCTGCTGCTGCTTTTGAATTGCAACTCACTCCTGAAGCAGCAAGGTGCAAAGGGGGTGAGAGCTGGAGGAGGGGATGGTGCTGGGGAAGCAAGGACAAGTCAGGCAGACTTCTGGAAAACTTCAGTTCACAATGAGTTTTTCATGTTTCTTTACTATCAGGCCATAGTCCAAAACCTGCTGAAACAGTCGTAGTAGAGGGCCCTGCTAAAGTTAATGAAGAAATTCCCATCACAGACTTAATGAATTTTTAATTCCTTTAGGTATTCTGTTTAGCCAGGTGAAAATTATAGATAATCTAAATTAAAAACCTCTTTGAAATATGCCTGTTTACTTTCTTTCGGTCAGTTGACGCTGTTCTTTTCATGTAGTGCTCACTGTTGTGAAATAGGTTCTCTAGGCTTCTAAACCAAATGAACTGGGTAAGTGATGATGTGTCAGTTCTCATCCTTGTTCCACTGGCTGCTTACATCTTGCCTTTCTGGCCTTGGGATATCCTGCTGTCTTGCTTCTGGAGAAAATCCAGCTGGACAGGAAAGCTATCTCAGATTAATCAAAGACCACCTATAAAATGTGTGTGTGTGTGTCTGTTGAAATTGTGTGTAAACACAAGAATAGGTACGAGGTACACAGATTTTCCAATGGCCTGTGACAGGAAAAATTGAGGCATTTCAAGGTGGGAATCTGCTGATAAGAAAGGCTGGTTTCATTTGCAACCGTAAAAGTTTAGAAACGGTTGGTACAGCATTTGGATTGCATGAAAAGGAATATTCCCTGCCATTTTGTTCATTAAAACTCACAAGAAAATGAATGTGGAAATAAACAGGACTTAATATTGGTAGACATTTTCATGATTCTTAGAAGGGGAACAAAGTCATTGTCTTACTTTACTGTCCTTAATAGAATAGAATGCTCAAGCTATGTATGCACATGTAACATAAATTAATTATCTGTAAATGTTATGAGACAGACTCTAGTACCCTTATTTACCCGTAGTTTGAATCCTCCTTTACATGTTGACAACTCTCATAAATGTTTTTGTACTAATAAGGACATGAAGTATTGCTCAGTGTAAGAAACAGCACAATCTAATCTCACCGAGTTGTGTACCAAATAAGTTTCTAGTTGTGTACTTTTTTTTTACATTAGAAAGTGATTCCTAAAATGATTCATGACCTAGAAAATGTATTTTCCTACAACTAACTTTGGATTTCCTTTATAGATGACACCAAGATAGCACTGCACCTAAAAGATAATGGAGGTAAGAGATAATTTTTTTTGTCTGTAAATAGTGTCAGTAGTTTGTCAAATTATACCCCACTGAACTTCATTAATCAAAATCAGATTGTAGAAGTAGTTTTTAACCAGACTCTCAAGGGACTTCAGTGTTCCACATCTGTGTAGAAGAGCAGCAGGGCAAATAAGCTTAGCAACTGCTTGGGAAATTAAACATTTACAGCTCACTATAATAAAACAGCAGGTTTGATTAACTTCTACATGTGGACATACATATTAAGCAAGTTTTTAACTACATTAATAGAGTTATTGACTGTATTATAGTAATAAAGTATTATTTAACTGTATTAAGAGAGCATATGATGCCAGTTCTAAATAATAATATTGTGTAAGAAATTCATTCATAGGAGTGTATTATTGCACAGCATTTTGTTCATAAGCATACCCATTTCATATCCATCTCTGTACTAGCAGAGATTCTGTGTTTCTCCATACACATTCCCCTGTGCAAGTTAATAAGATCACCTTGTCATGCTGATAAAGGCCTCTGTTAAATGATGCTCTGCAGGAGACTGCTTTTTTCATCTTCTTTATGGGTTCAAGGACTGAGACCTGAGATTTGTTCCTTCTCTCTTTGAAGTGGATGAGAATTTCCCTATTAGTTAGAATAGGACTGGGTTGTTAGACATGGCCTGTGTCTTTGTTCACTGCCAATGTAGAGCCTGCTGAGGTGAAAGGCAAGATTTGGGTTGATTTTTGCAGGCTTCAGAATGGTCTATCAAAGCAAATGATGATTTTCTGAGCAAACTGAAAAAATTTTATTTCCACTGATATAAAGGGGAATATTATTGGCTCTGATTGTCCTTCTGAGCAGGGAGCACCACACTTCCCTCTTAGGTCAGGGGAGCCAAAAGCCAAGTATGGCAGCACGTACATGCAGGGTGCAAGGTGCATCCAGCAGCTCAGGAAAAGCAACTGGGGTCAGCCCCAGTCTAGTGACCATCATCTGGGTGTGCAGCTATGAGGCAGACCCAGCATCAAAGGTTGGGAGCAGCAAGGGAGCAGGATAGGCACAGCAGGCAACAGCACAGCTCAGCAAGGACCAGAGGCAGCAGCTCCCTATCAGCAGTCCCAGAGAGGGTGAGGTTATAAACCAGGTCCTTGTAGAGATTCTGGACAGCAGCAAAAAGAAACACAGCTCCAAGCTCCATCCAAGGAGACATGGCCCATGGATAGGACTGGAAACAAGCCACCTTTAGCACTGATCCAGGAGACAAGATCATAGATGGGACTGAATACAGGTTCACCTACAACATAGCTTAGGTTTGAACCTGTTCTTACATGGAGTCCCCAACATCATGGGCAGAGGTCCCAGGTGCAGCAATCCAGGCCAGCTGAGGCATAGTGGTTTCTCAGGACCTGCACAGATAATTATTCAAGTTTTGAAAAAACAGAGTGCACATGCCACTTAACATGTTGATCCATTTTCCTGTCATTTGTTTTACAGTTATGTTCAGACATTATTTTCTCCTACCCACAAATTAGAGATCTGCTCACTGCACAGGAGGTGGTTGTCATCCTCTTCCTTGCCAGTCTTTGCTCAGTGATTTTGCTGTCACTAACCACAGCAGAGCTGGTCACGTGCTGTACTGGGCATTGAATTATCCATTTGTTGGTGCTGTTGTTTGAAATTGCTTTGACACATAAAGAGATCCCTTGGAATATGGTAATCTATAAACTCAGGCTAGTACTTTTAAGCATTTTGTCTATGGGAATGTCCCTGAAACTTTATTTCTCTTATTCTTTTTGAAATCCAATTGCTTTTTATTTTGCCGTGAAAAGTGCTGGAGTGCTCTTAAAGGTCGACAGTGAGCACTTCTCCTGTTCCATCCATGTCTGCTCTGTACAGAAGGTTTATTCCTAGCTGAATTGTGCCTAAACTCCACCCCATGAACCGGTGCTTCATGACCAGTGGCTGACCCAGGACCAGGCAGCTCTCCATTATGAGCATCTCAAACATAGCTCAGAAGAGTATGCTGTTATATAAAAAAACAATTCAAAAAGTGGAGTTTAGGAAATGCATCCATTTCTTTCAGTTTGAGAATTGCAACAGGATTAGTTTTTCACTTGTCTACCCTTTGTCCAAGATAAACTCTGTAAAAGCAAACAGAATATTGAATACTAGAGCAGTGATAGATGTCTGTGGCCTACTTGGTAAACTGAGGTGTAGGGTTTGCAGCATCAGTTATTTTAAACATAGAAAGTTTATTTCCATGGAGAAAGCTGATGCATTTTAGGAGGATAAACCAACACCTGATGTGATTGTTCATTTTCCTTGAGCTGTTTCTTTTATTCTTGAAACTTTAAAAAAATGAAAATCACTTCAAACAACAAAAAAGCAAAGCAACACACCAGGATTTCTCGTTCTCACAGTAAACGTAGCTTTTAATCTGAGAAGTTCTTTTTGATGAATCTTCAATTATGCATTGAATTTTCCAGTGACCCCTAGATTAGACTCAGATAAAACCTCTGCAGCCGCAGGCACATTCTTTGATTCTCTGTGGTTTGTCAGCCTTTCATAAAGAGTAGATTATTCCAGGTCACGAATACAGGGTCTTTACTTTCTCACACTAAATCCTTTAAAACTCTAATGAAAGAAATCCCTTTATAATGGAAAACCAAAGCTATATTGGATCAATGATTGCCTATAGTTTGATGTGTCCTTGGGTGATAGCAGTCAATATCTGCTTAGGTACAACAAAAGGATTCCACAGAAATTCTGCATCTTCCCTCTGCCCAGAACTTTTGAAACCAAATATTATAAAGCAGCAATTAAATTTAAATTAAATTTTGGGTGCTGGTCAAACGGCTTTGACCTTTTAATTACAAGAGAAAATCACTTGCAACTGCACTGCAATTTACCCACAATCTTTTGTGCCATACTTAATGCACATTTCAAATTTGCTTGTTTCTGTTTCTGCTGCCTGTTCTCTTTCTTCACCAACACAACAGATGCCATTACATACATGCCTAAACTATTTTAAAATACAGCCAGCCTGACATCACAATTTTTATTATATCTTGCTTCTCTTTAAAATAACAAGCATTTATAAGTTTTAAGATACGTCGAGCACTAAAAATGTACATTTTTGTTATTAATTGCAGATTCTATTGTTTTCTTCATTTTTCTTAAAACACAACACAGCTGGCTAAACAGTTTAAAAGCCTAATTTTTCATAAAAATTGTGACCAATTGTCTGTGGCTCTACAGTAATGCAATATTTTCTAGTTGAGAAGTCTTTGGTGGATGATTTAGGTGACTGGCCAGCACATCAAGACATTTTATTTGACCTTTTTAGACACTTTGTTGTGATGATTTGATTGCTATGAGTTCCTCATAGTCCTTCAGTTTTATAACTCATAAGAAAAGTCTCTGTCTGTTGGACACAAGTGTCAGACAGACTGCTACACTGCTCATTCATCAAGATACACAGAAATTAGTTTGAAAAAAAAGGAAAGCTGTGCAAAAAAACCACAACTGCCTGAGGGAGAAAACTGTTTTATTTATTTGTGAACAAGTTCATCCTAGCACATAGAGTGCTAGGAAATGTCTACATGATGCTACTTTCACTCTCTTGTGGACATTTTCAAAGATGGTCCAGATATGAATATCACATGTACAGGATAAACACTGTTGTTATATAGAGCTTAATTTCAGCTTGAAAGATTAGGAAACTCAAAAGGAAATGATCCAAGTGCAGACCCAAGTTTTGGAAAAATTATACATACATATATAAAATTTAATATACCTTATATACAATGATAAACTTAGCCAAGGCTATTGTTTTTTCAATAGTGCCCTATGCCTGGAAACTGGTTTCCATCACTCATCTGTCTTCCTAATTTCCCTTAAAAATTGCAGTCTGAACTCTTCCAAATTATGGAGAAGATTCAGTCCTGTTTTTCTTGTGTACCCTGAACTCCAGCTGCAAATGTTGAACACTGGTTGATGCCTACTGATAATCATTTAACTTATTTCTTTCTAATATGTTAAGCTGCTAAATGATACAGGAAATGAGATGTATTTCAACGAAGAGACAAGCCAACCTTTTAGGCAAAACAAATATTTTTATAGAACAAAAGTTACTATGACCACACAGTCCAAAACCAGCTGACTCAGGTTAACAAGTCACTATAGATTAGCTGAATCTTCTCCAGTTTTAAAGTAAAACACAGTAAGTTAAACAAAAATGCTAAACCTAACCTTTGTGGTGGTTTGAATATGTTTTAAAGTGGACCTTGTATAAGACAAGATCAACAGGATATGTCTTTGTCTTATTGCCAGAACATAGTCTAGCCACAGGAAATGACTTTCCAGAGGCTTCATTGCATCTGGTGATATCCAGGAAGACACAAGCTCTTGTTTTAGACCTTTCTCCTTGCCAGTGGCAAGCAGTAGGCAAGAGGAAATAATTAATGTCATGCTAAAAGAAGTGCTCAAACTGGGATATGTTACTATATGAGGGTACCTAACTCTGCCAGAAAAATCTAAATGATATACTAAAAGTGGGCATCTTACTTGTAAATATGCAAGGTTTCCTTAAATTAATTCTCTTCAGGGTGTCCTAGATAATGTGTTTTGTTTACATTCCTGTCTAGAAAACTGCAGGCCAGGATTCAGACCCTTTTTTCCAGTCTTTTCTCATGAATAACGGAGGATTTAAGGTTTTTACCATTATTGCAAAAATCCTGTTGAGATTAGGTTATGGATTATGTCATTATATGTTTACTTCTGTATGTTCCACTTACTCAAAACTGCTGATGTTCCCCTAAAGTTGCTGTGTTCATGCAACTAGTTAAACAAGTATTTCCTTGAAGAACACTGGTCATAAAGTTTACTTTATCAATGCTGTACTATATGCTTATTGGTATAAAAAAAATCCTCTCTAGAAGCAGTTTTAGAATGGTTGCAGTAGTATTGGAAACAGAAGAAGAAAATGGAACAAATAAAATAGAACTCAAATA